CCCCAAAACCCCAAAACCCCAAAACCCCTGGAGTTTGATTAGTAGAATATGACACGAATTAATTAATAAAAATTGAATAGAAATGCAAAGATTATTACCAAACTTAGTTTTAGTAAGTTTTGGCCTTGTTCAACTAGCCAGTTCATCTTATCTTTTTGATTTCGAGCAGTAGTTCTCACTTGATGTATTATTCAATAAGGTAAGTTCAAAAGTTGCTTATGCATTTATAGGAAGTTGATATGAAAAATACCGAAAATGATCTGTACTTCAATCATCTATACAAGGAGGAAATTTCTCATCACTTAATGCCTAGCAGTACAGGAAACAATCTTTAGGAATTAGTTTGCAAGATTCCTGTGAAGTCAGAGAATTAGAATAAATATATCGGGGATAACTAGATTCTAAAGATAGTCACAAGAGTAGGTTCAGAGGATTAAGCAAAAGAGTTCACTAAATTAACCTCATCAATTGGTAACCAATTAATTGCTCCATTACTTGGAAAATGCTTTCACCTAGTAAGACTTCAAAGAGTTATTAAATGATTACGTATAGAAAGAAGATATATGGCTCTATAAATTTTGCATTGGTGAATCTGTAGATCAATATCACGTTGAAGCAAATGGAACAATATCTGAAGAATTTAGCTTGGGAATGTCAGACCTGGCAAAAGACACCAATCAAGCAATGATAGAGCAATTAATTGAAGAGGATCCTGAATCAGAGACCTTTGATATGCTATTAAATCCTGACATTCCTTACTTAACTATCGACAAAGAAAGTGGGATAATCTTAAGGTTCTATAATGTACCAATTGATCAATAGATGATGAACAGAAAATCAGATATAATAGGCATCCCAATAAAGAAAGGAGATTAATACGTGTTAGAGAGAAGAAATGTGGTTGAGTGTGTCAATGATAACACAGTCATTATTGACTAACCTTTTTCTCATCACTAAAATCTATCTGATTACATTTTTGACTTCAAAAATATAATAGTTGAAGGAGGAAAGGATAGTGATCATCTTACTAGGCAAGTAAGGCATTAGCACATCAAGTCATTTGGCCTTGAAATAATAAACCAGAAATTAGTCTTTTGCAAAAAATGCAGATTCACTTTGAATTATGAACCTGGAGATGCATTAGTTTATGTAAGTGATCGTGTTTTATATTTTCTTATTAGGAATACTTATCAAAGACTTATACTGCAAAAATTATAAGAGTACTTGAGGATAATTTGATGGAAATAGAAAATTAAGAGTATCTAAGTGAGCAACCAATTATAGTGACCTTAGATTATTTTGTTATGAAAAAATTAGCTGGGCTCTAAATAGATTGGAAATCTTTGAGTACAAATAATGGATCACTAGAAATAAAAATAGAGGGATCAAGACTTATATCCAAAGAGTAAAGTCTAATAGGAAAATTGAATATTGGTGATATGATATTCTTTGAAGTTTTTGCTGAAAAAGATCCAAAACAGCAAATAAAAGAGTAAATTTTTCATCACTTAATTTATTTTGTTTAGTCGCAAAACTTCTGGACCTATATTCAAGATTACTGAAATTATTGATAACGGGTTTAGTGCTGGTATTGAATTGCTCTAAGGTAGTAACATACAAATACATCAACTATCATCTGAATTTACCAGTAAAGTATTATTAGGGACTCCAAATAATGAGGGTATTTCTCACACGAAATTATAAAGCCTGTCATCGGGTTATCTTCTTTCAAATATAAGATTTGATTAAAATAGAAAAATTGACTAGCAATACTTTAAGACATAGCATATTCTAAATTAATAAGGAGTCTTTGTTTTCAAAATGCAATAAAATCAAAGAATTCAGGATAAAAAGTTGAGGTTAGTAATGTAAAATCTAAATATAAATTCTGATTCAACAAGCACTGATGACCATAATCCAATAGTAGAATTTGTCTACAACTCTAAGTATGGATTACTGATCAATGGCCAGTAAATGAACAAGGGATTTGATAACATCACTCACCTATATTTTATCATGGACACTAATGATACACTTTACTTTGCAGATAATGCTACAAACTTTGCAAGCATTTATCATTCAATAGTAATACCAGGTTTGAGTAAGATGAGACTTCAGATGTTATTTGATTCTAAATATTCAGATTCAATAGATATTTCAGAGCTTCGAGTGATTTAAAGACTTCCCTTGAAATTGTAAAAGCAACTTTCCTTCTTCACACAGGTGGCTCCAAACACCTAAACAGCTTATCATGTTGATCATTATACTAATGGTACTATGTGTGCTGTCAATAACAAACCAAGACAAGTTACGATATTTTACTACTGTGATTACTTTGGAAATAATGAGGCTCAGATTAATGAACTAAGTGAGCCAGATTGGTGCACTTATCATGTCAAAATTTTGACTAAGTATATGTGTGGTAAATGGGCATCTAACATAAAAGGTGCTGTTGAGGAGATAGGCAGGATCTAAAATAAGACTAAAATTAAGTGTTAAACGAGATAACTTAATAATGATGATAATTACCATGACTCAGTTTATTCTTCAAAAAATAATATGGATTAAGGAGTAGCTGAAGATTAGAAAATAAAATAGAAAGCTGATTTGTGATTATTTTAAAGAGATAATTATCTTAATGATCTTATTTATACGATATCAAGGGGTTTTGGGGTTTTGGGGTTTTGGGG